TCAGCTTCCGAGTAGCCAGAATTACAGGCATGCGCTACCATGCCCAGCTGATTTTTTGATTTACTGTAGAGATAAGGTCTCGCCAAGTTGCCCAGGCACGTCTTGAACCCTCAGGCTCAGGCAATCCACTCACCTCAGCCTCCCAAAGCGCGGGATTACAGGCTGAGCCACCAAGCCCAGCTTAATTTTTCTTTCATTTCTGTTATTTCACTAAGAGTTATTATATAAACAGTTTTTATTAACCAAAAGGAGTGAAAAAGCCCTGTGTGCATCTAGCCCACATTCATTACTACTAAGTTTTATTAAATCAGGTTTTTATTTATTTTTTTATTTTTATTTTTTTGAGTTGGAGTCTCACTCTGTCGCCCAGACTGGAGTGCAGTGGCACACTGCCAGCCACCGCAGCCTCGACCTGCTGGGCTCCGGCGATCCTTCCGCCTCAGCCTTCCAAGTAACTGGAACTACAGGTGTACTACCATGCCCGGCTAATTTTTGATTTATTGTAGAGATAAGGTCTCACCAAGTTGCCCAGGCGGGTCTTGAACCCACGGGCTCAGGCAATCCACTCACCTTGGCCTCCCAAAGCGCTGGGTTTACAAGCTGAGCTACGAGCCCAGCCTTTAATCAGGTTTTAAAAAATGTATTGTTTTAGAGATTAGGTATTGCTATCTTGCCCAGGCTGGCCTTGAACTTCTAGGCTCAAGTGATCTTCCCTTCTTGGCCTCCCATGTAGCTGGGACAACAAGTACATGCCACCATGTTGACTTATTCATTCAGTTTTGAAGTTTCTTTGTTTTAAAAGTTCCAGAGTATGAGCACAACTAACATAATTAAACCTGAATCACTAACATTTCCCCCTAAAAAATCTTTCATGTTAATTTCCATCTATATTGTAGGCTCTTAGCAGGTTACTTAGTTTTTTCCACAAAGTCAAAAATGAAATATCCATGAGTACATAAGCATAAGATCTTTTTTGGAAAATACAGGTTATTTGGTTTTTTTAGCCACTCTGGCAAATAACAACCTCAGTTCCTTTAAATGTATTTATACTTATAGTGCTTACTTACAGGAAATAATTTGCATTCCAAATTTTTAAACTTGCTATTTCCACAATCACAACGAAAATTTCTGAAGAAAAGAGAGACAGTTTTATTTTTCTTTTAATGGTAATGGAGTACTCTTTAAACTCAAATAATAGACTTTTCCCATTACAACTTATTTCTAGGATCTAAAAGATAGCTTTTAGTTGCCATTCATGTATCCAATCTGGAATTTCTTCAAGCACATAATAAAAGATTTTACAATTCTGGAAGTTACTAAGTATAAAGACAAACATCTACACCACACACAAACATATAAGTAAAATAATGGTAGATAAGGATGAGCAGTTTGAGCTTGTACCATAATTAAATCTATATATATATATATATATATATATATATATATATATATATATATATATTTTTTTTTTTTTTTTTTTTTTTTTTGAGTCGGAGTCTTACTTTGTCACCCAGGCTAGAGTGCAGTGGCACGCTGCTTACGGCCACTGCAGCCTCCACCTGCTGGGTTCAGGCAATCCTTCCGTCTCAGTCTTCCAAGTAGCTGCAATTACAGGCTCCCAGGACCACCCCCAGCTAATTTTTCTTGGTTTATTGTAAAGATGAGGTCTCACCAAGTTGCCCAGGCTAGTCTCAAACCATTGGCTCAGCCTCCCAAAGTGCTGGGATTATAGACATGAGCCACCGTGCCCGGCTTCATAATTATATTTTAAAAAGCCCTACGGAAAAATAACTCTCCAATTATACTATATAAAATAATCATGTTAAATTTCACTAGAGACAACTACCTAGAATGAAAAAACAAGATTAAAAAAAAAGTGTACTTGGGAAAGTCTAAATATTTAGAAAGCATTCAGCAATCTCAGACTGTGTTTACCTTTTTGTGTATAGCTCAAATAGTTTATGACTTCCATGACATTCATAACTGCAAGCTAGGCAAATTCCTGCTGGTTCTTCTCCCTCTGGGGTGCAAGTACTACAGGCATATAGTGCTTGTCTCTTTACTGAGCCCTAAAAGACAGTCCCAAAATGGAAAAGAGAGAATAAATTAATGAGACAACATAGTTACCTAACACTCACACTACGACCTGAACAATAATTAAAATCAGATTATCTGTGGTCAAGATCTTCCTTTAAAAACACTTTAAACTATTTTAAAAGTTTATACAAGAGTATCAATCAAAACATCATTCATGTTTAATGTCTACACTAGTGCTTGTTTTCATACAAGCACATTTTTTCTTAAAGTAAAAGGAAGTTTAAATTTGTCAGCTGTGAACAAGTTGATCTGTTTAATCATTTTAACATATGAAAATGTGGGAGAATGTGTCTAGGTTTATGTAAGTAATATCACACTTCAATTTTGGAAAATGTTTGTAAATCCACCAAAGAGGAAATCAACACATACAAAGAATCCCTTTGATCCTGAAGAGATGCATGCTAAAATAATTAGAGGTATAGTGCCATAAAGTCTGCAATTTATTTTTAAATAGTTCAAAATTTTAACAATGCAAATTGTATTATATTGCTGAGAGAAAGAAAAGTGACAAAAATGTTAAAAAGTGAATACATGTGAGAGGTATACAGATGTTCACAATAATATTCTTTCTTTTTTGTGAGATAGGGGTCTCACTCTGTTGCCCAGGATGGAGTGACACAATCATAGCTCACTGCAGCCTCGAACTCCTGGGCTCAGCAATCCTCCCACCTCAGTCTCCCAAGTAGCTGGGATTACAGGCACCACCATACCCACTAATTTTTAAAATTTTTGTACAGATGAGGTCTTACTGTGTTGCCCAGGCTGGTCTCAAACTCCTGGCCTCAAGCAATCCTCCTAGCCCAGTCTCCCAAAGCACTGGGATTACAGGCATGAGCTACCACATCCAGTCCTATTCTTTCAACTCATCTATAGATTTAAAATGTTTGAAAATTTAAAGTTAAAGGAAAAACAGGCAAAACTTTCAGAAATCTTGATAATGGTTATCCTTCTCTAGGAAGGAGAGAGACACACAGGGAGGCTTCTCGGATGCCAGAAATGTTCTATTTCTTGATCTGGGTGGTGGGTACATGTACACTTTCCAGCTGTATTCATAATTTGTGCAAATTTCCATATTTTTTTTACTATAATAAAAAGAAAAATTTAAGTAAGTCCATTTCATAAATTTAACTATATTTCAAAAATAGCTTACATATAGACAAGACTTTTTTTAAAAGGAAAGAAGGGGAAAAGTTTTTGTGGTGACAAAAGGTTTTAAAATACCAGCCAGCATTTAGTACTATGTCTAGATATCGGGTTATACAACAATCTAACCACCTTGAAGCGTAAACTCAACTTGGACTACAATGACAAATGGTATTATGATCTCAGTTCATACCACAAAATGAATGCAAGTCTTTCTCCTCATCGCCCCGTGTTCCACTCCAACCCTGCCTGGGTAAACTTTCTTCCTCCTGCCAGTTCTCATCCCTTGTTAATTTCCCTAACTACCTTTTTCCATGTTTGTACCTAGAAATATAGATGGGTCAACACTACATCACACCTCCTCACACCCTTGTTCACAACTCTTCCAAAGCCAAACAGATCCTCCTCTCCCCATCCCCTTTTCAAGATCCACCTGCTGTTTTTTCCGGTCTATTTCCAGGGCAGAGAGGGCAGACTAAAGACAGACACAGCACTTGCTTTGTTGTGCCCTCCTCCCGCAAAAAAGTACCGGCTAGCACTTGTCAAACTACATTGCAGAGGAACCAGCTGCTAAGAAGCCCACCCTGTACGGGGAGATTTTCAAATCCAAAGCTCGTTAGCTCCTCTGGGACTCCCCTACTCGGCCCCTAATAAATAAATACTATTAGGATGCGAAAAGTAGGATAAAGATGTCTGGATTTGAGAAATCGTAGGGATGGTTTCGTGAAAAGCAGCAGGGGCACCAGGAAGAGACGAAGCGAAGGTCAGAGCCGCTGCTCCAGGGTCAAATCCTGGAGGGGCTGGGCGGAGTTCAAGTGAAGGAGGAGGCCCCTGCTGGACAGAGAGAAGGAAGCCCAGGAGGCTGAGGATACAAGGGCAGCGGGCTTGGGATGAAGAAGCCTAAAATATATTCCCCGCGGGGCAAGCGGGGGCGGGGACACATAGCATCAATAAGAGTACCTGATCTCAAACCAGGCAAAGTGGGAACCAAAGGGAGGCCCAAACTTCACCTGTACGATGACCACTTGTATACCTAATCCTGAATTGTACCCCATATCTTTAAAATAAAATTTTTAAAAAGCTGGCCGGGCGCGGTGGCTCACGCCTATAATCCTAGTATTTTGGGAGGCCGAGGTGAGAGGATGGCCTGAGACCAGCCTGGACAACTTAGCGAGACCTCATCTCTAGAATAAATCCAAAAATTAGCCGGGCATGGTGGCGCGTGCCTGTAGTTCCAGCAGCTTGGAAGTCTGAAGCGGAAGGGTCACCTGATCCCAGTAGATCGAGGGTGCGGTGGCCGTAAGTTCATACCACAAAATGAATGCCACTGCGCTCCACCTGGACGACAGAGTGAGACTCCAACTCAAAAAATAAAAAATTTTTTAAAAATTTTTAAAGCCTAAAACGAACGGCGGTCCCGGACCACCACAGGCGGGAACAGGGAAAGCCCGCCCGCGAAGAGAAAATACAGCTGGGGCCAGGGAAGACGAGGCCCGGGCCGCGCGCCCACCTGCGAGTAGGAGCACTTCTCGGAGTCGCTGCCACCCAGGACAGCGCACGCCTCATTCTCCAGCTCCTCGTCCTCTTCGAGTACGTCGACCAACGATACCACCGGTTCCAGCTCCGACTGCCGCCCAGCGGGACCCTCAGCCCCCGCCATCCTCAACTGTCAGCCGGGCAGCGGTTCGTCCCCGGCGGAGGCGGGAAAAGGGGCCGCGAGGGGCGTGGCCGGAGGAGGCGGGGCCGGAGCATCAGGAACCAATCGCAAAGGAAAAAAGCTAAGCAAGGGGGAGGAGCGACTTCCGACAAGCGGAAGTCACTCCTCTCTCTTCTCTTGCCTGCGGTGGTTTCCGCTTCCGGGTGGCGCTTTCCTGTGGCGCGCTCTTGAAGCTTAACGGTCGCCATGGAGCTATTGGGAGAGTACGTCGGGCAGGAGGGGCAGCAACAGAAGCTGCGGGCGTCATGTGAGGCGCCAAAGGACGCCGACCGTTTCCAGGGCTTGTTGTCCGGCGTGGCCCAGATGAAGGAGCAGGTAGCCGAGTTATTCGGCCCCCTGATACAGCGGGAAGCGCAGCACCAGGTGGCGACGTCTCCAGACGAGGCCTTGGACGGTGAGCTCTGAGACTGCTGGAGCTACAGGAGGGCGGGGCGGACGCCCAGGGAAGATCGGCTTGGGGAACCCTTGTAGAGTGGCAGACTTGGAGAAAGGGAGCCTCGGGGAAAGAAAGATTGCATCTAAAAGTTATTGGCGCTCCTCGCCGTGGTTATCTGGGTGCTTCTGCTCAGGCGTTAACTCCCAGGAATTCCTTTACCACATCCCAGTTTTGAAGGTGAAGTTTAACCGCCTTCATTTTTGAAAAATTTTCTTGAATTCAAAAATAGGTAAATACATTTTGACTTCTTTGAGCTGAAAAAGTCAAGGGCTAGATGTTGGAGGCAGGATTTACTATTCTGTAGAGAAGCTTCAACTGTACTTTCCTTTCCATCTTGGGAATTACATCTTAATACTGTAGATGTTCACTGTAATCAGTAAGAACAATAACAAACGCTGGCTAGAAGATGAAGAAATTGGAGACCTTATCATTGTAGGTGGAAATGTAAAATGGTGTACTTACTTGGAAAAAAACAGTTTGGTAGATCCTCAAAAAGTTAGCATAAATTTACCATATGACCTAGCAGTTCCACTGCTAGTCCTCTCAAAAGAACTTACATTCACACAAGAACTTATCTAAGAGTGTTTTCAGCAGCATTATTTATAGTAGCTAAAAAGTGGAAACAACAATTAGCAGGGCATGGTGGCACACCTGTATTCCCAAGCTACTTAGGAGGCTGAGGTGGGAGGATTGCTTGAGTTTGAGGCTGCAGTGAATTGTGATCATGCTACTGCACTCCATTAGCTGATGTGTACATAAACAAAATGTGGTATACCCATATAATGGAATAGTATTAACAATAAAAATAAATGAAGTATTGAGGTGTATTACAACATGAATGAACCCTGCAAACATTATGCTAAGTGAAAGAAGCCAGACACAAAGGGGCATACATACTGTATGGTTTCGTTTATATGATTGTCCAGAATAGACAGAGATAGAGTAGATTAGTAAGCCAGGAGCAGTGATGCAGAGGATGAGGCAGGAGGATCACTTGAAACCAGGAGTTCAAGTCCAGCCTGGGCAACATAGCAAAACCCTGTCTCTAAAAAAAAAATTAAGGGGGGAAAAAAGAATAGCAGTTGCCCAGAGCTGAGAGGAAAGAATAGTGACTGTTAATGGGTATAACTTTTGTTTCTTGAAGTGATGAATGTGTTCTGAAATTAGTGGAGATGATTGCACAAGCTAGTGGATACACTAGGAACCACTAAACTGCACTTTAAAATAGTTAATTTTATGCTAGATGAATTAATATCTCTCAAAAAATGATAGAAAAGAAAGATTTTAAACACAGAAATTCCCGAAGTTATTTTAATCTAAAATGTTCATGGTTTCATTAATCTCTAAAGTGAAATAATCATTCTAGATATATTTCTTTCAACCACTGAACATATTGTCATACAACAAATATTTATTTTAAAAGGTGATGATGAAGATGATACAGAAGATGAAAATAACAGCACTAACTCAGATGGACCATCTGCAAAACGGCCAAAACCACCGTCTTAATAATAGGCTTTTTGAAATTTAAAAGACTGCTATCACTTCCTAATTATCACACAATGACATTTTTTATTTTATTTTATTTATTTTGTTGTTGTTGTTGTGGAGTCTCACTCAGTCTCCCAGACTGGAGTGCAGTGGCCGCTCCCGGCCACCGCAGCCTCGACCTGCTGGGCTCCAGTGATCCTTCCACTTCAGCCTTCCAAGTAGCTGGAACTACAGGTGCGCACTACCACATCCGGCTACACAATGACATTTAAGGAAGACTTGTATTCTAATTTGGAAAAACATTTGTTTTGTTCTCCTGGGACAATTTTGTCAAAGAGAAAACTGGTTTTTCTGTTTCTAGCAAAGATGATAAATATTTAGAAATAGAATCTGTTTTCTTGAGTGAGAAATAAATTTTGGGCCACAGAAATAAAATAGAACATTTAATAATGTATAAAATCCTCTTAATTTGGCAACTGAATTTTTATTATTGTTTTATATTTTTAAAATAACCACTGAATGTGTGATGTCTGCATCTTTTAGTTTTTACTTCTGTTTCAAAGAGGCTCATGGGCAAAAACATTTCAAAGAGCTGACAAGCAAGTGGTGAAAATTGGGTGTTAGATGTAAAAATGTTATTTATAAATAAAAGGAAACTAAAGGAATAGAAATACTGAAGAAAAAGGAGAATCCTTGAGAGAGACCCAGGAAACTTTGAATTCATATCCACAAACAATATACAGATATTCTGAGATGATGTCAGTTAATGAATGTAGATTAAGAGAGCCAGATGGGATATGTTTTGTGCTGTGTTGTGGTATGCATGCAAGTACAGATATAAAGCCATAAGTAAATACTATGTATTCACTGTAACTTAGAATTCCTCTCCTCCTGTAGCCATACTTTGATTTCGCTTTTAAAAAGACTGTTAGACGAGACCTCATCTCTACAATAAAATAAAAAAATCAGCCGGGCGTGGTAGCGTGGGCCTGTAATTCTGGCTACTCGGAAGGCTGAGACGGAAGGATCACCGGAGCCCAGCAGGTCGAGGCTGCAGTGACCAGGAGCGGCCACTGCACTCCAGTCTGGGCGACAGAGTGACACTCCAACTCAAAAAAAAAAAGACTGTTAGATAACAGCCGGGCGCAGTGGCTTATGTCTGTAATCCCAGTACTTTGGGAGGCTGAGGTGAGAGGATTGCCTGAGCCCACAGGTTCGAGCAAGACCTCATCTCTACAATAAATCCAAAAATTAGCCGGGCGTGGTAGCATGTCCCTGTAGTTCTCGTTACTTGAAAGGCTGAGGCGGAAGAATCGCCTGATCCCAGCAGGTCTAGGCCGCGTTGGCGATGAGCGTGCCACTGCACTCCAGCTTGGGCGACAGAGTGAGACTCTGACTCAAAAAAAAAAAAAAAAAATTGGCCAGGTGTGGTAGCACACCCCTGTAGTTCCAGCTACTTGGAAAGCTGAGGCAGAAAGATAGCCTGAGCCCAGCAGGTTGAGGCTGCGTTGACTATGAGTGTGCCACTGCACTCCAGCCTGGGCAACAGTGAGACTCAAAAAAAAAAAAAGTTATAAATGACCAGAAATTATTTTTGTTTATGATGATGTTTATAATATTCAACTAATTTATAAGATTATTGTTCTCTCTATAAAATACTTTTTTTTAAAAACCCACCTGTATGTACTTATTGTTAAGTTGATACCTGAACTTTGCTCCTAAACATTTTAGGTTTCCTTCTTTGATAAATGTGTTTGTTAAGAAGAAATTTCAAGATAATACTTACGTTTGTGGTCCACTGTTTTGAGGTTCTGAGTTATAGGTTTGACCTTTTAACTTTAATACTGATGCTAATACTGTCCTCTTCATAAGTAAGCCACACGTTTGATTAAAAAAGGTCAGTCTGAAGGGCCAATATAGAAAAATGCCAAGTTTTATAATCTGGCTTCTAATTATACATACATTAGTCACAGGCAGGCAGAACAAAGTTTTCTTTGAAACAATTCCAGCTTTACTTTTAAACAAGGACATCAACCCCACAATCCTACCTAAAAAATAAACTTGACACTAGGCTTAGATACATCTTTTAAAATTTAAGATAGAACTGGGCATGATGTCCCACGCCTGTAATCCCAGCACTTTGGGAGGCTAAGGCAAGAGGATTGCCTGAGCCCAGGGGTTCGAGACTAGCCTGGGCAACTTGTCAAAATCCTCGACTCTACAATAAAGCAAAAAATTAGCCAGGTGTGGGGTAGCATGCGCCTATAGTTCCAGCAAATTGGAAGGCTGATGCAGAAGGATGGCCTAAACCAAGCAGGTCATGGCTGCGATGGCTGTGAGCATACCACTGCATTCCAGCCTGGGCGACAGAGTGAGACTCCGACTCAAAAGAGAGAGATAAATGAGGGCTTAAGTGATCTTTGAGCTCAATAGCTCAAGAATCTTGAGGGCTCGAGCAGTCTCTCTGCCTCAGCTTCCAGAGTAGCTACAAACTACAGGTAGGCACCACCATGCTTGGCTAATTTTTAGAATCAGGGTCTCACTATGTTACCCAGGCTGGGCTGGATCTCCTGGCCTTAAGTGATCCTCCTGCCTGGGCCTCCCAAAGTACTGGGATTACAGGTCTGAGCCACCACACCCAACTAGACTCAGAGAATTTATGCTTCAGTGACTAGTTCATATCCTGGGCCAGTGACCTCCAATGTCTGTCTACCCTTTCTCATCCTTTAGATTTCAATTTAAATATTTGTTCCAGGTGAACATTATGATTTTTTTAATTGAGGCTGGGCACAGTAACTCACACCTATAATCCCAGCACTTTGGGAGGTGGAAGGATCACTTGAGCCCAGAAGTTTAAGACCATCCTGGGCAACATAGTTGAATCTCAGGTCTACAAAAAAAATTTTAAATGAGCTGGGTGGGTTGGTGTGTGCCACCAAGAGTTGGAGGCTTCAGTGAGTGGAACCCTAACTCATAAAATAATTTTAGTTGAGAAGTCCTGTTTTCTTTCTGTCTCTGTCTCTCTCTCTCTCTCTCTCTCTCTCTCTCTCTCTCTCTTTCCTTTTCTTTCTTCCCTCCCTCCCATTCTCCCTTTTTTCCTTCCTTCCTTTCAAGTTGGAATCTCACTTTGTCATCTGGGCTGGAGTACAGTAGCACAGTACTCGTGACCACTGCAGAGAAGGCCTGTACTTTTAAAGAAAATAATGAGAAGATTAGTTGGAGATGTTTATGGTTCTCAGTTTATTATATAGTACTTTTATCTAGTTCCTATTTAACCTAATAAAGACACAGCAGTTTCTCAGTGGAATTGTTCAGTCAGGATAAGTATAGAATGTTATTTCTTATATATTAAGAAATATTAGCTGGGAACGGTGGCTCATGCCTGTAATCCCAGTACTTTGGGAGGCCGAGGTAAAAGCATTGCCTGAGTCCAGGGGTTCAACACCAGCCTGGACAACTTGGTGAGACCTCATCTCTACAATAAATCAAAAAATTAGCTGGACGTGGTGGCACACACTTATGGTTCCAGCTACTAGGAAGGCTGAGGCAGAAGGATCATCTAAGCCCAGCAGGTCAAGGCTGCGTTGGCTATGAGCATGCCACTGCACTCCAGCCTAGGTGACAGAGTGAGACTCCGACTCAAAAAATATGTATATGTTATATACATTGCAATAGATTCATACATAAAACCACCTGAAAACCTAAGTGTTCTCATTCAGTTGTCAACCACCATGTTGTGATAAAATCTTTACAAGCATTTCCTGTATGAATTTATTGTGGGTGGTAGTTCAGCACACTTAGTTTAAAACTATATTCATACTGGTGATCGGTACAGATAAACATGTCTGGGGAAATCAGTTAACACTATAATGTAAAAATCCAGAAACCATAATACAAAAGATTAGTAAATGTGATTATATAATAATGACAATTTCTAAACACTCTGTAGCTAAAGTCAAAATACAAAAAGGGAAAAGGTATTTAGTGTTTCCAGCACAAATTACTAAGAACTAATTCCTCCATGTAATCTTGTATGTACCAGTCAAGATAATACAACAGAAATAGGCAAAGGAAAGTAACAGCAAGATCACAGGATAATAAATGCACGTAGTTTTTCAATGAAAAAGTATGCACTTCAAAGAAAGTAAAACCAAATGTGATAACACTTTACAGATTGAAAAATCCATATTTTGAAGCAATACTGAGCTAGATAGGATAAGAGGTCTATAATACACTGATCGTGAGAAAGTATATTGGTTTAAGCTTTTTGAAAGTCAAGCTGGTCAAGGCCATGGTGGCTATGATTGTGCCACTGCACTCCAGCCTGGGTGACAGTGAGACTGACTCAAAAAAAAAAAAGCAAGATACAGAACTGTGTAGAATGGAAGAATATGGGCTAGATATGCATATAATAGCTCGGAAAGGATAGTCCAACTGCCTCTGGGAAGAAGAAGCAAGCAGGAATTGGGAGTATGAGGGAAATTTTTCATTTTATACCCTTGTGTTCTCTGCATTAAAAAAAAAAACTATTTTTCTACACAAATACAGAAATTTTTATTGTGAAATTTTCGATTTTTAATTTAGTTTTTTGTTATTGTTGAGTAGGAGTCTCACTGTGTCGCCCAGGCTGGAGTGCAGTAGCACGCTCATAGCCACGCAGCCTTGACCTGCTGGACTCAGACGATCATTCCGCCTCAGCCTTTCAAGTAGGTGGAAGTAGGTATACACCACGATGCCCAGCTGATTTTTTTATTGATTGTAGAGACAAGGTCTTGCCATGTTGTTGTTCAGGCTGGTCACAAACCCCGGAGCTCAGGCAATCCTCTCACCTCAGCCTCCCAAAGTTCTAGGATTACAGGCGTGAGCCAGTGTGCCCGGCCTCAGTTTTTTATTTTAAAAAGCCTTGCTTTACGCCATCCTGCTAGCAGGTCCCCTCTGCCCGGTGCAGGGCAGACGTGCTCGTGCCAACATCGTGCGCGCGACCCCGCGGCAGCCTCTGGAGGGAGCGGCGCCGTCTCTGCCGTCGCTTCCCACGTTGGGGTCAAGCCCAAGACACTCGGCGCCTCCCGAGGGGCCAGGACAGTCCAGGCGGCCGGCCCAAGGGCTGCTCCGCCCTCCCGAGCCAGCCCCGGCTTCCGTGGGCCACCGGGCCTGGCAGACCAAGGACTCCGGCCAGAGCAGAAGGGGCCGGGTCTGTCCTGGGCGCCAGGAGTGGTCGCCGGCCCCTGCCGCCGACGTCCAGGGCCCCGGGGACCATCGTCCGGTCAAGGCCCCGCCGGGATCCCGTCCTCTCATCTTCTGACAAGTGTTGCTTGAATTTGACGAAGAATGGCTTTTCGGTGGGGTTTCCTAGTTGTTTTTTGGGTTTTTTTTAAGTTGGAGTCTCAGTGCCGCCCAGACTGGAATGCAGTGGCCGCTCCCGGCCACCGCAGCCTCGACCTCCTGGGCTGCGGCGATCCTTCCGCCTCAGCCTTCCGAGTAGCTGGAATTACAGGCATGCACTACCTCGCCCGGCTGATTTTTTGATTTATTATAGAGATGGGGGTCTTGCCAATTTGCCCAAGCAGGTCTCGAACCCGCGGGCTCAGGCAATCCACTCACCTCAGCCTCCCAAAGTGCAGGATTACAGGCTGAGCCACCGAGCCCGGCTCCTTGCTGTTTTTAACGCCCCTAATAGACCATCCGAGGTCGGAGTTTTTAAGAAGACACGCATAACTTATGCTAGCACTCTTTTTCGCCTCTGAGTGATTCTTGGCGGCCGGCCTTCCAGTACCTGGCAGAGCGCTAGCACAAGGCGGTCGCTCGCCCACGGCTGAATGGCGGGGTGTGTGCAGAGGGTGGGATCAGGATGCCCACGGTTGTTGGATTCACGGCCGCCATGCCATCGAGATGAAGACGAGGGCCTGGGCGTCGCCTTTGTGCCGTGTTTTTAGTGTAACGAGTGTCACAGCCGCGCTCGGTGGCTCAGCCTGTA